CGGCTTCTCCCTGTTTTGTAGGTGGCAAATACGTGCCCCGCGCCGTCCTGGTGGACCTGGAGCCCGGCACCATGGACTCGGTGCGCTCCGGGCCCTTCGGCCAGATATTCAGGCCGGACAACTTCGTGTTCGGTGAGTGCGCCGGGAGCGGGGGAGGGACCTGTCGTGTAACCGGCTCGGGGTGGGGTGGGCAGGGCAGGGACACTGCACTGCGGGCTTGGGCGCCGCACATGCTCCTGAGGTGAGCGCGGCCCCGGGAGGGGGGTTAATCCTGCCGCTTCATGACGGGAATGAAATAGTGGGGAATCTGCGGCTGGTGGGTGATGGCAGCTGCTGGGAGAGCAGGTCTGACAAGGCACAAGAGGTCGTTGCTCTTCTGATTGTCATCTCCTCTGTAATATTAGCAGAAATGAAATGGCTGCTGCATCATTGATAATGAATGCTTTCTGTATATTTACTGAGCTGTTTGAAAGGTGCTTGTGTGAAACCACAGCTCTGCCCTCCATAAAATGAAAGCTTTGGTGGGGTTTCTCTGTAGCCTGATGCTCCTTAGCTTTGCTTGGAAGCAATGAGCAGGAAGCAGTGACTGTAATCTAATACGAAAATGGCTCTCTTCCAGGTCAGAGCGGAGCAGGAAACAACTGGGCAAAGGGCCATTATACGGAAGGTGCTGAATTAGTTGATTCCGTGTTAGATGTTGTAAGAAAGGAGGCAGAAAGCTGTGATTGTCTCCAGGGCTTTCAGCTTACTCACTCTCTTGGTGGTGGTACAGGCTCAGGCATGGGTACCCTCCTCATCAGCAAAATTCGTGAAGAGTACCCAGATCGAATTATGAATACTTTCAGTGTTGTACCCTCCCCTAAAGTATCAGATACTGTAGTAGAGCCCTACAATGCCACACTGTCGGTGCACCAGCTTGTGGAGAACACAGATGAAACATACTGTATTGATAACGAAGCCCTCTACGACATATGCTTCAGAACACTGAAGTTAACTACTCCAACATACGGTGATCTAAACCATTTAGTGTCGGCAACCATGAGCGGTGTCACCACCTGCCTGCGATTCCCAGGCCAGCTTAACGCTGACCTGCGGAAGCTGGCAGTGAACATGGTTCCTTTCCCCCGTTTGCACTTTTTCATGCCTGGCTTTGCCCCACTCACAAGCCGTGGGAGCCAGCAGTATCGTGCTTTAACCGTGCCAGAGCTAACACAGCAGATGTTTGATGCAAAGAACATGATGGCTGCGTGTGACCCACGTCACGGCCGCTATCTGACAGTAGCTGCTGTTTTTAGAGGCCGTATGTCAATGAAAGAGGTCGATGAGCAAATGCTAAACGTTCAGAACAAAAACAGCAGCTACTTTGTTGAATGGATTCCTAATAACGTTAAAACAGCGGTCTGTGACATTCCACCTCGTGGCCTCAAAATGTCTGCCACCTTCATTGGTAACAGCACAGCCATCCAGGAGCTGTTCAAACGCATTTCCGAGCAGTTCACGGCCATGTTCCGCCGAAAGGCTTTCCTGCACTGGTACACTGGCGAGGGCATGGACGAGATGGAATTCACAGAGGCTGAGAGTAACATGAATGACCTGGTGTCTGAGTATCAGCAGTATCAGGATGCTACAGCTGAGGAGGAGGGGGAGTTTGAGGAGGAGGCTGAGGAAGAGGCAGAGTAAAAGCTATGCAGATGAACACCTGTAAATTTTGTTTAAAGCTGTATGAACTCTTTCATTCAAAACTTCTCTGTCTGTGTTGTGTTCCTCTTCCTGTTTCAAAGTCACTTCAGTTGCTGTACAGGCACCATTAAAGCATTTTTCACAGTGCAGAAGCTCGTCTCTTTTCTTCCTTTTCGTAAGCTTTCCGGGTGCTGTTCCCAAAAGTTAGGGCGTAGGTGTGGCGGAGGTCTGGAAAAGAAGAATAAAGGACTTGGCATGAACCCTGCTGCCTTGCCCGAGGCAACCACGCTCCTCTCCGGCCTTGCAAGGAGATGGACTGGATGTGGTGGCACTCCTGCTTCCACCTGGTGGGGGGGAATTGAAGAAAAGTCTCTGGTATGACTTTATATCGGGGTACTGGCAAGGGGAGGTACGCTTCACAGGGAGGATGAAATTCAGCTCCAGGCTGGGTCTAAATTTAGGTACCTGCCTGTGGACTCCTGTTACAGGCTTCACTCTTGGCAGGAACTGAGCAGCTCTGGACTGTAATGGAAACGGATTCAAATAGGTGTCTGCGAGGAAACCTGGCTGCCTGGGCAACAAAATGGTGCAGGTGGGTGTGCTGGAAGCAGGGGAGCTGGCTGAGCCACAGCAGCCTCGCACTATAAACCCAGCGGGCACCTGTGGCCTGTCACAGGAGCACTGGGGACAGCTGTGACAAGCTGTGCTGTGCTTACTGCTGGGGACAAATGACGCTGAAGAGCTGCCATGTACACAGCCTTGCTGGAGTCACTTTTTTAAAAATCAGCATGTGGAGGTTTTAAAATTAAGTCAGGTGTTACTACAGCATCTCTGATTTGAAGTGAGCTGAACACCTGATACCAAATTACACTTTTATCTCATTAAAACCCTCTATTTGCAAATTTTTACTGTGGAAACTGAGTATGTTCAGTGTTACCTAAAGTGACAAACGTGTCACTCTGAATAGCTGGACAGGAGATAGCAGGCTCTTTTCCTTCTAAATGTTCTGTGTTCTTGATTGTCACTGATAGTTAATTTTTTCTGTCTTAAAAATAAGCTTCTCCTTCCACAGTCAAACTGGTTGGAGTAGTTAAAATTAATTGCACTGACTGGTGGCTCTTGGGGCAGTGGAAATCAGTCTGGCTACAGAAACAGGTGGCTGGTTTCAAACCTACCCAGGAGAATACTTTCTTAGGTGCACAGATGACAACAGGTTTTTAAAGCATGAGGGTAGCACCTTAAGCAGTTTTTTGTCCTTGGTTTTAGGGTGGGTTTTTCTTGCTGCTTTTGATTACATGGAAGCTGATGTGTTCCCTGGCCTGCCAGCTCCCAAGGGCAGGACAGTGTCGTTCCCCCCCAGCCCCCTTTTGCGTCACCCTCCACAAAGAGGACAAAGCACATGGGTAGGTATTGACATCGGAGCCCAGTTTACCCCCAGGTTCACAACAGCTTTCTCCAGAGGCTTGACCCGGCAGGCTGCAGCTTTGAGGAGTGTGACCACAGAGCACCTGGAGCAGTCGGGGAGACGCCCCAGAGCTGCCACACAGAGGGGACAGGTAAGTGTCACCCACTGGGACAGCAGCTGCTGCGCGTGCCATCTCCCCACGAGCAGGGGTGTGGGGACAGAGGCCAAACCCAGCATATTCCTCTTCATCTTTGCTCAGAAGACCCGTCCAGCCTCACCCTGCTCCAGCAGCGTGCAGGATGTTCCCATCCTTTCCCCTGGGCCATCCTCCAAGCTCCCGCTGGCTGGCGGGTGTTAAACTGCTGCTTCTGCCCGGCTTTCCCCTGCCCCTGGTACAAGTCCTGCCTCAGCCACATCCGCTGCCTCAGCCTTCTCCCCTCTGGGTCAGCAGCTGCTACCTCCATCCCAGCTACAGTCCAACCCTGCCAAGATATTTTCCCACTCCTTGCTTTCCTTTCTGCTCCTTTTTATGTCTTCTACCATTTTCCTCCTCTATCGCATTAATTCCCAGCGTTTCGTTCTTTCAGCTTATCTCCGTGATTCCCCATGTGATGTTACTGACCTGTGGGCTCCTGACTTTCCTGTGGCCAAAAATACTGATACTACTTGCCAATTTGTTGAAATTTTAGCCCAATACCCTCATGTTCTGCATGGGCAGAGCTTCCCCCTTAACACACACAATCCGACTTTCTTCCCACCTCTGCGTTTCAGCTGGCAAGGATCAGGCAGCCAGCACAGGGCAGCCAGCACCTGTCTTGATGGCTACCAAACACCATTGCACTGTTGGGTTTTTTTTGCTTTCTCACCCCCTTTGTATCATCTACCTTTTGCTTTTTATCGGACTTTAAGCTTTTTATAACAGAATCACTTTCCTGACAAAGAAATTTTAACACACGCATGTATGGGATGGGGTGGTGCTGAGCCTCCTCTGCTTTAGCAGGGGGTTGGCAGCTGGAACCCAGAGGAATGTCCCTTAATGACCGTAATTAGTATTAATGACTTTCATTTTCACTCAGCTGATAAACTTACTCGGTACGAAGCCTGCGTAGAAAGGTATCAGTCCAGCACTGGTGTAAATTCTGTTGTTAGGCCAGTAGGTTTGGGGAAATCTCCTGCCAAAGCTGTGAGATGGGTTTCTCTCCAAAAACTGGAAAACAACAAAAAAAGACCAAACAACCCATCACCACAGTACAGTTAATTTTAAAACACATGGTTGTCACCCAAGTCACGTGTTTTGATTCTGCATTAAAGAAAATATTTCAGCCAATGTGAAGGAACTGTCCTTCCAGCTCTGGTTTCGTCTGATGAGGAGCGACACTGCAGCTTCCCTTTTCCGCTCGGGAAGTTTTTCTCCCGACGGCTGTTGGCAGCAGCCCTCGACAGCGCTGCCTTTGCTAGCTCGCACCCCAGGCGCACAGAGCAGCTCCTGGCCTGCGTGTAGTCATCAGGATCCCTACAGACCAGGCTGCATTCACCACCTTTGGGCATCGTCCCCAGGTCCCCAACACCTTCTGCTCGTACGTTGGCGATCCCGGGAGCCAGCAGCACCTGCCGGAGCTGGGGACATGCCGCGGCTGCTCCCACGCTGTGACTCTGCACACCCGTGGTTTGGTTTGACCCCTTCAACTGGTTCTGTTCTTCCATGAGCCCCACCGGCGGTGATTAGCCAGTAATTCCCCGGCGAGGAGGAACAGGAAGGCTTAGGGAGCGTTAGCTGCAGGGAGAGTGTAAATCACCTCCCGGGACTGTCCCTGCCCCAGGTCAGACCCAGCTCCGGGGTGGGCTGCAGGGGGACAGCGCAGCTCTGCAGCGGCAAAACCCCAAAGGGGTCACTGCCGCTGCACCACCCTGCTCGGCGGTGATGGGACCAGGCTCCCCGAGCCCAGCAAACCGCGGGGCATTGAACCGTTTTGTGATGGACTGATGGCTGCAGCTCCTCGGGTGCGGCATTGAAGCGAGAGGATTGCATTATTTTGCCTGATGCAGACAGTAAGTGACGCTCCACAGCACATCCCACGATGTAACCCAGGGCAACAGAGATTTAGGGCAGAAGATTAGTGGCTTGAAGTCAGAAGCCATCTTAGATAGAAATGTGGTGTGATTTATTTTTTTTTCAGCCTGCTTATATTCCTTCAGTGCCTGATGTGCTGCAGCAAACCCCTGCGAGCCTGGATGCTGCGATGGAGAAACGCCTCCCTCGCTGCTTCACTGCATGGCAGACGTTGCTTAAGAAATGAGGGCAGAAAGGCTTTGCAAACAGCGTGTTTAGGTTTGGTAAGGTCTGGGGATTGTTTAATTTCGATTCCTATCAGTGGCAGAAGGAGCGGCTAAGGCAGCAGCACAGGGAAATACATCTCAGCCAAGGCACCGGCTGCCATGGGCACCGCCGCCCCCCTGCTCTCCTGCTGAGTCATTTCTGCCCAGCTGAGCTTCTCCCAGCTGGGGATCCTCAGTTTGGGACTTTTCTCTCCGTCAGACCTGTATGCTCTGGGATGAAGGCAGGGAATCCCGGTGACAGCAAGGGCTGGGAATGTTGTGTTATCACTAGCTTTTAACGAGCATCACTGAGCTGACCAGCCCTGGCCGGTGCTGGACCAGCGAGACTGCTGCATCCCAGGGTCTCACTCCATCCGGGGAGCAGGAAGAAATGTGCAGCTTTGAATGCGAACTATTAACTACCGTGGGAGGGATCGCGTTTTCCCGTGTAGGAGGATCACAATGGCATTAGGTGGGAGATCTTGCAGCAAGGGGACAAAATAGTTCTGCAGGAGGGATATTTCTGCATCCTTCCCAAGAGGAGGAGAAAGAAGATCTAGATCCATTTAAGACAAATTCTGTTAGTGAAGGCAAAAGCCTTACAACTGGTTAAAAGGGAGAAACATCCACCCAAGCAGCCCAGGAAGCGGTCCAGCACTGCCAGCCAGGTAGAGGAGATCTATGGCGTAAGGGAAGCGCAGACAACAGCATCCTGTGTTTCTGCACTCAGAGCAACATTTTTAACCACCAACCCTCACTAGATTCGCTTAATCCTTTTATGAACTCATTTATCCTCCCTTAATGTCCCAAGGAAACAAGTTACAGAATTTAATTGCTCAGGATTTTTTCAACATGTTACCCAACAGCATTTGCTTTGGCTTGTACTCGTATTTGGCTTGTACTTGTACCCTGGTTCTAACGCCGCTGCTGTACATGGGTATTGCAGAGGAATCAATACCAACACTATGTTATTGAAATGAGATTTGGGGATATAATCTACCTGTTGTCGGTCAAATTCGTTCATGGCTTCCTTCACGCTCTGGACGTAGTTCACGCCGGTAACCCAGGTGAGGCGGGGGATGAAGCCAGCGTACCCTTGGGATGGAGACAAGAGAACACACATAGTGTACAGGGATCAACCCGGCTGGGATGGGTATAGAACCTCGGCAGAGTATAGGAAGGACAAAGGCAGCCACTTACATCGTAAAATTAACTCTTACGTGTGAAGTGTCTTTTCTGAAAGAGTCTTTTTTATGATTCCCAAGGAAAACTCAATGGGTTGAGCTGACCTTTGTTGGTCTCCATGAGGTACAGAGGAAACATTTCATTTTCGTATAGTTTGTTCTTTAAACCAACAGCTCTGTCACGTTCTCTTCCACTTTAACACGCATTTAGGGGCTAACAACTGGGTCTCCAACCTTTCTTTCTCATTTGCCCTGTCCACCCAACAGATTTTCACCATAAGACAGAAACTACATAAAGTCTAAAACTACATAAACCAGAGAGGTGCAACCTAAGAACAGCCAGAACTCCCTCTTCCCAAAGGGATGCTTTGGAGAGAGCAACATTTGCCTTCAGCATCCTAAACCATCGATGCTCTTTCGCAGAATCTGAAATATTTTGACGTGCAGCTGCCGTATTGCGGCAGAGCGGCGTGTCCCTCGGCTGGAGTCGTACCCTTCGGGGGAATCCCCTGCATCGCCCGCTGTGATTCTCCCACTCACAGAGGAAC